CAAAATTTATTTGACTTTTATTACAAGAAGTGACATTATTATTTCCTTATTAAAAACTATTTATTATCTTCGTGTTAGGCAAGTCAATTATGAAGATCATTCTAAGATACCTCACAGTCATAAAGATTATGCTAAGATATCTCACAATAACAACCTTGAAAATCATGTCAACATCTCATGATCTTGAATACCATGCCAGGACTATATAGCATCTTTGAAAATTATAAAGCATTTGTACATTTAAATTTATGTTATGATATTAAATTCAAACTCCCCACGCACGCACGCGGATCAATACAACATTGTTGAATACTAGCTTGTTCACTTTCCCGTACATACCATAAATAACAAGATCTTCTATATATATATATTCTTTAATGTTCATTTTTATTTATTTTGCAAGCAAGCTTTGCTTACTTTTCTTTTTAATCTCCATCCACATTCACGAAACTTAGCACATGAAAAGTCTTTGGAAGGCTCTAATTGTTTCTTGAAAGGTGTTTATTATATAGCTTGAAAGAGAGTTTTATATTTTTATAATGTTTTTGCTCAATCAAGATTTAGAAGTTTTTGTCTTCTACATTCAAAAAATTAGTTTTGGGGAATAATCCATAAAAAATTAACAAAAAATCAACAAGTTATGTAAATTTTCTCACCAATGCATGTTCTGAATTATTTTTTTTCAAAAAAAAGTTCAATTTTGTCTGCACTCACTCACCAAATACCCTATTGAAAAATGGAAAACATCCATATGATTTTTTTATTTAATTTACAAGGAGATTTAAACAATTAAAACTTGGTTTTATTCATTTTTTTTATTAGATTCAACTTATGACATTAGAGCTCCCTATAGTATTGATTTTTGATAAAAACATCCCTATGGTTTTTATTTGGACAATTGAAAAGCAAACACAAACATAAGGTGACGAGACAAAAACTAAAACTAATGGCAGGACAAGAACACTATTATTGTTGATTTAATATAATAAGATTATCCTTTTTACCCTTCAGTGGAGATAATTATAATTATAATAATTATGGTTGTAATAATAATAATAATAATAATAATAATAATAATAATAATAGTGATAATGATAGTGATAGTGATGATAATAAGAATAAAAATAATAATATTATTAGTTATAGTATTAGTGACAATAATCATAACAACAGTATAAATAATAATAATAAGAACAATAACAACAACAACAACAATAATAACAATAATAATGATAATAACAGTAATCACGATAATAATACTAACAATAATTATGATATTACTTGTTAGTAATAATAGTAATGATGATAGTTGTAATGATTATGTTAATATTAGTAAGAATAATAATAGTAATAATTCATCATTCAATATTAGATTATATTTATTGAGAATTGAGTTTAACTACTTTTCCATATATGGTATTGTTGATTTAATATCTTAGATTACTAATTTCAAAAGTTTACATGGCTAAACTTTCTCTTTTATTTTTTTTATATTTTTTTAATTTTATCGTTTAATATTGATTTTTGAAAATAAAAAAAAAAGATCATCCAAATTTTCTCTAAGCCCATTAAATAAATCAATTTAAATCGAGTTAGCTATTAAAGATTTATCATCTCACCTGGGTTTATAGCATTGCCAAAAAATCTTCACGCTCTTAATAACTTTTATTTTATATTTTAAAAAACATAGTTGGGCTAGCGGTGGAGTGTGGACAAATTAAATAGTAAATACTAAAAAAAGTACAAATCTTAAAAAAAGTGATCTAAACAAGTGACACGACAAAAAAATAAAACTAATGAGAGAATAGGATCATAAAAGGAGATTTGTGACTACTATGATTTTTAAACCTTTAAACCCTATTTGGTGGTTAACCTGATTCGTAGTTTATGTCACAAGTTTTGATCAAGATCAATTCTATTTTTTTCATATAAATGAAAATGACATCATTTTTTTTAGAAAAACAAATAGTTAACTCATCTTAATTTTGGTTCTGGATCATCCAGATCTCGAGTCAACCTGTCAAACCAAATTGGTTTTAAAAACTATGGTATCATAGAAAAAACCCATAAAACAAAGATAAAAATAAAGCATAAACATAACTTTATAATTCAGTGACTAGGTAAGGAGGTTGAAGGCAGGTAAAAGCAAGCATAAGGCAAACATTATAATATGCTTTAAAATGCATGAAAAAAAATGTGCAAGTGCTATGTACATGGACTCATCACATCGTGAATTACACTGTAGATATAGAGTTTTTATATTGCAAACCACACTGTAAATATTGTCTTTTCTATTTTTTATTTCAAAAGCACTGTGAACCACACTATATTCATAAAATGTTTACATTGTGGACTACATTGTAGATGTTCAGGAAATATAGGGGCATTGCCTTTTCTATTCTTTATTGCAAAAGCTGTTGACACGTGTTGGTTTAAGGCATAGCTGTCAGATCTAAGGTCATTGGGTTTGGTTGTAATGCGAAACCCAAGGGCTGAGGCCATGGGGTTTGGCTTGACCGTCAAACCCTAAGGCCAGACCTTAGGCTATTAGGTTTGGCATACCCGTTATATCCAAGGCTACTAGAAGCTCTTGGGTCTAGTATAACTGCTAGATTTATTTAAAAAAAATATTTATTAAAAAATAATTAAGATATTTATTTAAGATACTTAAAGGGTGGTTTAATATTTTTATATAAAAGTAAAAAAAATATAAATTATTTATAATACTTCAAGGGTAATTTAATTTTTTTTTTAAAAATAATTATAATTTATGTTCATGATATTTCAAGAGTAGTTTAAATATATTTCAAGTGTAGCACGAATGTTTTTATAAAAAAATATAAAAAATTTAATTAGCATTTCTGTTTAAGATACTTTAAGAGTAGTTTAAATATTTTTTTATTAAAAATAAAAAATTATAAAAAATATTAATTAACATTTGTATTTGAAATACTTTAAGGATAATTTAAATATTATTTATATTAGAAATAGAAAACATTTATTAATAAAAAAATATTTAAGATACTTCATGGGTAGATCAAATTTGTTTTTATGTGTGGTTTCCGATTGAAAAATAAGATTTTATACTATACTTGTTTGACATACCATTAGTGGAACCTCTAACCTTGACATTTGTTATTATCATTGTTTAATCGTTACATTAATATTCTATCTCAAAGTTCTCATTTTCTTCTTCTCCTTCTCCTTCTTTTTATTTATTATTATTATTATTACTATTATTATTGTTGTTGTATTATTGCATCTATAATCTGTACAATTAATCTCCCTGTGGTTCGACCCTGGTCATGCCGGATTATTTATTACTTTGACGCTCCTGCACTTGAGAGAAGATATCAATCTTTTAGTCGTGCCAATTTTGTTTGTTAGGTTTTTTTTTAATCTTTTACAAGTGTTTTTTTATTAATAATTTTTCATCAATTCCATCATTACTGTGAGTTTTAGATGTTAAACTAAATTTAGAAGGTTCATTCATATTGCTTTTTTATTTTAAGGTGATTGTTTTTTATCCATTTTTTTATTTATTTTTAATATTTTGTAGTTTTTCTACTATTTATTTTTAAATGATTTCACCCCTATTTTTTTTAATACATGAATAATCTATGAAATTATAAATATTTTTCAATTTCACGCCCTATGAGTTTTTTTATCTTTCAAACTTGATTTTATTTTTTAATTTCTATTTATTTTATTTTTTTAAAAAAATTTAACCATTCTTGAGTTTTTTTATATTAAATTTTTTCCCTGTTTTTTATTTTTCTAGATTTTTTAATAATATTTTTTCATTATTTTTTAAAAATTAAATTGGTTAATAATTAAGTTTTTAGTTGAATTTGAATTCAAAATCTCACGGGTGTGATTTTTAAAGATTAAATTAAGTTTTGAAGGTTTAATTGAGTTTATTTATTGGTTTTTATTTTTTTGTGACGGAGTTTTCTTATATTGTATCTTTAGTTTTAGGGTTTTTTTATTGTTTTTTTTTGTCTTTTACCTTAAGTTGACCCTTATCATTTTTTTTTAATTTCATCCTTATTATTTTTAATTTATAAATTATCTATTAAATTATAAATGTTTTTTAATTTTACTCCTCATGATTTTTTTATTTAACAAATTTAATATTTATTTTTTTAATTATTATTTATTTTGTTTGGAATATTTTGTTTTCAAATCTCATCATTCTTGTGTTTTTTATCTTATTAAGTTTTATTCCTATTCTTTTTGTTATTGTTTTTTTTTGTTTGCAAGTCTTTTTATTAATATTTTTTCAGAATCTTATCCTACAAAATTCAATATTAAAAATAAAAATAAAAATAAAAATCTAGTTTGATTAAGCCAATATTTTATGATTTCTTTGTTATTTTTAATTTAACTTAAACAAAACCCATATTTTCATTTTATAAAGTTTATATTTAATAAATACATTTCACTATTTTCTTTTTGAAAAAACTTTAGAATTAATAAAAACACTATCCTCTCAAGTAAAAATGCAACGCACATCATCGTTCCATATTGTCAACTTCTAGTGTTTGACTTTGGTTTTTCATCTCATTTCGTTCTCAAAGAAAACGTGAGGAGTTAAAAACGAACCACCTACCCCATCCACGTGTCGAGCATGAATTGGCTAGGGAGTTCTAGAAACTCATAGAAGAAGAAGATGAAAAGAGAGGAAGATTCTCGATTCGGAGGCCAGTTGTATGGTATAAATTGCTTCTCCTGCCTTTCCTTGTATGCATCGTTGAGGCCAGGTAGAGAGACTTTCCTTTAAAGTCGTGCTTTTCATCAGGTAATCCTTTGGTCCCTTCTATCCTCTCTAGTTTTCTATTTTCTTTGATTTATCTTGTTTCTTCATTTAAGACTTGAATCTTAGGTTTAATTCTACGTGGATGCTTTTCTCTCCGGTGTCTTTGGCTTTTAGATTTTTATTTTTAATTATTTTTTTTTTCTTGTAGATCTGTGTAATTTTGAAGTGCTGCTGTTTAATCTTTCGTTCTAAATGACGATACGATTTTCTTTGTTTTTGTTATCAATTTTTATTTCATTAATGAAATGAATTTAGGTTTATACTTTTATTTTTCTTCTTGTAAACTCTAGAATGTAGCAATGTGGGAAGTCTTCGCGCACTCGTGTTCGAGAAATTATTAGGTATACTGGGAGTTTAGGCTCTGTTCGCTTCGACGGTGCGGTGCCGTTCTGTTTTTTCCACCGCAGATTTGAAAATATTTAATAAATAACATAATTGTGCTTTTAGAAACTCAGTGAGAAAAAGTTATAATTTGAAGTTTTTTTTTAAAAAGTTATTACCATAATATCATAATGTCAAACATGCACAAAAGAGCTGTTTGAAATTGTGTTTCAAATAGTATTTCTATAAAAATTGATTTTTTTGTTATGAAATTAACTTATTTTTATATTTTTGGATCTAGAAGTGATGATGTTAAAAATAAGTTTTAAAAAATAAAAAAAATATTTGATGTATTTATTGCTGAAAAATATTTTGAAAAATAATTATTGCCGCACTCTCAAACACTTCCAAAATTATTTTGCCTATATAAATATATAGGGCTTATCATGGAAAGAATTCATGGCCCATCTTCATTTGAGAGTATCGGCTGCAGCTTTGGATATACCGAAGAAATCTGACTTTTCAAGTTATGCTTGGGATTTTTTGTAAATTGGTATTGCAAATTTTGTATCATATTGGTTTTAAATGAATGATTGCGCAGTTGGATTGTGACAGGAGTAGATTATCATTCATTGGTTGACAGAATATTTTGCTACTTATAGGCGGTGAAATATTGTGAGAGAGATGGCCGAGGTAAGATTTTGTCTGTCACGCTCTTTGTTTTTCATTGCATGTTGTATTAGAGGTATGCATGTGAGTTGTGGCATTGGCTTTTTACATTGGTAATTGAGTCAGAACTTTGATTTACTGATGGTAGGAGGGTTACAAGGTTACCTTGAATGTGTATGATCTCAGCCAAGGATTGGCACGGCAACTCTCGACAGCGTTTTTGGGGAAGGCCATTGATGGAATCTGGTAAGTTTCTTGAATGAGAATGATGCGTTGAAAATGTCGATGCCCGAAATAACATCCTTTGCAGTGATCATGTATCTTGTACTTGCTTTAATATAAAGTAGAATGCGAGTAGTGTAATTGGAAATTGAGCAAACCTCATTTTACGATAAAAATGTTGAGGTGGATAAGTGAAGGCTAACTGTTTTGGTGGGGTATTTGTGCCCCCCCCCTGTGGAATAATTTTAACAGTTTAGAAGTGAATTACGTGCATGCATCCCTGGCTGGGGAATGCCTAAGTGGCTTATTCAATTAATTTTTTAAATGGGCAGTTATTTTCAATATATACATAGATGGAGACATCTTCTGCCCGTAATCATTGATGACGTACCCAAATTAGCTGTATTTATATTTTAAAACTGTTTTTGGGATATGAATTAGAACTTATTTTTTTCGGGAATTCTTCTATGTAATTCATTCTTTATTAACTTTAACAACATTTGGTACATTGTGCAGTCTATTATGCAGGGATGTAAAATGATCCTGAACCTCATTTTTTTAGAGTCTTGCATGAGTTGTTATGAACCTTCAAGCTGTAGAGCTTTAGTGTTATGTGGCTTTGTATCTGACTTTATTGTGTTGTATTTCATCACAGGCACACAGGAGTTGTGGTGTATGGTAATGAATACTTCTTTGGGGGAGGTATACAACATTTGCCTTCTGGAACAACTCCATATGGAACGCCAATTAAAGTGGTTGATTTGGGTATCACACATGTACCCCAGGATGTATTTGAAGAGTATTTGCAGGAAATTAGTTCCCGTTACTCTGCCGAAACTTATAGTTTACTCACTCACAACTGCAACAACTTCAGCAATGAGGTTGCCCAGTTTTTGGTGGGTGTGACCATTCCAGAATATATTCTTCTGCTACCCAATGAAGTCATGAACAGTCCAATGGGTGCTCTTATAAGTGAGTTGATCTAACTTAGTCTTGATTATGCAAGTCATTTACTTTCCTCCTCCTGTCAAATTGAAATACAGATAGGGTGAGAGAGTTCTTCAATGAATTACCCTGATAACTTTTCCTTTCCCCCTTTTTTTTTTTCTTTTTGTTTTGTTTTGAAGTTTGAATTTTGAATGAACTAGCTCAGGTCCATGGATGCTCTTTAACCCCTTTTTTTATTCTCTAGGAGAAAAACCCTCGTTTGGGGTCTAATAGCTGTAAATGGTTTTCGTTTAGAGAACTTAGTAATGTGTTATGAAGTCTCAAATATCATGGTGGGATAGTGCTAGTGGATAGCAATTGCGCATGCAACCATACTGCTCGTGGCAGCTAACTCCTAACATATTATGCTTATGTTTATGTTGTAGTGCCCATGATACAAAATCTGGAGTCAACACTGAGAGCAGGGGCTGTCCCGCAAGTTCCACAATTCAGGCCTCCTTCAATGGCGCAGTCTTCACAGACTGCAACAGTTACTGTTGATAAATCCACGGCTAGTGGTCCTAGCCCTTCCGCAAAAGTAATCGTTAAAGAGGCTGATGTCAAAGTCAAATCTGATGATGCCAAACCAAACGAGCCCAGGACATTGGACACAGTCCAATCTGCAGAAGCCAAAGGGAAGACTACAGTCAATGGAGGAGATCCTCAAGATCCACTTGGCGATGCACGAAACAAAGTACAGGAGGAGATTGGGCGTGAATTCGCTGCGATCATGGCTACCGGCACTTTTCGTGCAAGTGAGGCAGCAGCTTTAGCTACCAAGAGAGTAATGCAAAGATATGGTCATCTAAATGCTGCAATGCCACTGAGCTAGAAATTGTGGAAGTGGATAATTTTAGGTGGCGTGGTAGCTGTCATATGTTAATGTGACTTCTAAATCACCATCACAATGATAACCTGATGATCTATCAGATTTATCTTTTATGTAGGCAGATACTGTTAGGCCTGCACCTGATTCTAGGCCCGGGATCCGTCTTCCCAGTCAATATTTGTGGCTAAAACATGGCACATTGCCTGAATTTAACTATCGGATAATCTTTGTAGTCAATATATGTTGACTTGTGTCAATCATTGGTTTGGTTGGACGTCACCTGAATGTGACGGGTGCTGGTGTTTGTGGCTATTGCCATTGCGCTCGATGCTCGGATGTTTGGTTGTGTAAACATGCATGCAGCGTCCGATCTGGCTCTTGGCTTAAGCTTGTTTTCAAATTAAAGTTGATGAGAGTCAATAGGATAAAATCTAGTCGATTTGATGAAGCTGCTCAAGATCATCTAGAATTTGATGAGTTTTGACATTTTTAAAGAGTTTAAAACAAAATCATCATCATTCCATATCTTTGCATTTAAAAAATCTAATTACTTTAAAATCATCATCATCAAATAAGTACTATACATGATATAATCATAAAGCTTAATCTCCAGAAAATAAAATTTTAAAGTATAAAATAAAAAAAAAAATAAAAACCTAAAATTAAAAAAATAAAGCTTAAATTTGGAATAAATAATAAATTAAAGGGCAACATCAAATTTTAATTTTGATTTTTAAACTAAAAAGAACAAAAGCATTAAGAATTTTTTTTTTAAAAGAATAAGAATACAAATAAAAAAATACATTATCAACTTGTAATGAAGATTGAAATTAAAAACAATTAAAATTTTATAAAAATATTAATGAAAAAAAGAAGAAGAAATCATAAGAATAATAATTAAATTAAAAACACAAATATATGATAAAAAAATTGAACATTATAATTTTTCATTATTTTTTTTTTACATTAAAAAATTTATGCATGCATCCAATTAAATAAATCATGAACTCTTATGTAAAAAAAAATAATAAAAGAAAAGTCATTAATGATAAATAAAATTATAAATGGAAAAATTGAGAGACAAATCAAGATATTTAATATTTAATTTTGAATTTTAAACTAAAAAGAAAAAAAGCATTAAGAAAAAAAAAATTAAAAGAATAAGAATACAAATAAAAAAATACATTATCAACTTGTAATGAAGATTGAAATTAAAAACAATTAAAATTTTATAAAAATATTAATGAAAAAAAGAAGAAGAAATCATAAGAATAATAATTAAATTAAAAACACAAATATATGATAAAAAAATTGAACATTATAATTTTTCATTATTTTTTTTTTACATTAAAAAATTTATGCATGCATCCAATTAAATAAATCATGAACTCTTATGTAAAAAAAAATAATAAAAGAAAAGTCATTAATGATAAATAAAATTATAAATGGAAAAATTGAGAGACAAATCAAGATATTTAATATCAAAACATATGGAATAAAGGGATAAATCATCATCATCATCATTCCATATACTTTAAAATCTAATTATGTTTAATAAATTTATTTATTAAAATTAATTTATAACAAAGATCAACACATATATAAAATTAAAAAAATATTATATAAGGTTGTACATATTCAACCAATTAAAAAAAACACTTAAATCTAAATAAAATACATTAAAAAAATTACAAATGAATCATACTAATTTCTTAACAAATTAAACACATCCAATAGAATTAGAAATAATTGTTATTAAAAAATGATAAATAAGAAAATTTTTTTTAGAGAAGGAGTATTAATTAAAATATTAATTTATTTTTTAATAAATACATATAAAAAAATATTAATTAAATTTTTTTTAAACAAAATGAGTCAAATTATGTTTCTGATCCAAATAAAAAGAGCCTGTGATTAGACATGTATTGTTTTTAGTTACACACGCAAACAATATGTATGTTTTTTTAAAAGATGACATGTTATTTGAGATTTTATAATCCAACACTATGGTAATGGGAAAAATATGATTCATGGTTTTTTTTCTTTTAAAAATCCATTTTAACCTGTCTTTAATCCAAAATAATTAGTAAAAACTCTAATAATCATGTTAAATCAAACCATAGCCTTCAAAAAGATAAAAAACCAACTCAAAACATGAAATAACAAATCTTTTTGATTTAGGTGTTTTCAAGGTAAAAAATACTTAATTTTAACTCCTCTCACTATATGAAGTATTTTGATACAAAAATTATATATTTTGGTAGTTTAAATCTTTTTTAATGGCAACCTTTTTTTTTTAAGTCAGAGTTTATATTCCTTTTCTTTCCTTCACTCAAAAAAATTAGAAAAAAAAAATAAAGTTTAGTATCATAATATATTTTTTAAAAATCTTAAATACTTGATAACCTAATTGCTTTAAAAGATAAAGGAAAAAATGAATTTTTTAAATAAATTTCATTCCTACCACCAATTTTATCCCTTTTTGTCACTTTAATCTATTTTCTTTCAATTCAATCTTTACCCCTAAAAAACATGTAATGAAGCTCTAATTTGGACTCATAATAACTCAGTCATGAAAAATAAAAAAATAAAAAAAATTTAAGCATTAATTTTTTTTTAAATGTCATCGCTACAAGATAATAAACAATAATTTAATGAACCACTAGTGAAAATATCACACTTTTTAGCTTTATTGTTAATGAGCCTTTAAAGCATATCCAATGAAAAAGCTAAATGGATAGCTAAAAATAAAAAAAATTAATCTATCTTTTTTGTGCTTGTTTTTCATACGAGGGGAAAGCCAAACAAAATGCTAAAATACCTTCTTTTTTTTTTTTCACAAAAGCTACTCCTACATATCTCTCACAAAAGCCAAAACTAACAAAGTGGGGCCAACAAAAAAAAAAACCAATTAAATCTAGCCATATGGAAAAAAAACATCAAAATTATTAAATTTTATATGTGTTTAATAAATTTTTTTAATGTATTTTATTTAGATTTTAATGTTTTTTATAATTGGTTGAATATGTGCAGCCTTATATAATATTTTTTTAATTTTATATGTGTGTTGATCTTTGTTATAAATTAATTTTAATAAATAAATTTATTAAACATAATTAGATTTTAAAGTAT